TACTTGTTTCCCGTTAGTTTTATCATGGCTTTATAATTTTTTACCGTACCAATATCAAATTTTTCTTTTGCGAAAACTCTATTGTATTTCGTCATTAGATTTTCCAGACTATTATCAGAATTGATGTTATTTATTACATTTATACTCGTTCCGGAATTTTCTTTTATTTGTTTTATGTTTTCATTATTATTTTGCCATATTTTCAAATTTTCATCCTGACAAAGTTTGAATTCTTTTATACAGTCTAAACCCAACAATTGTACATCATCTTTAAATGAATCACTCTTTATTACGAAAAATGAAAATTGTTTCGTTATATCATAAATTTTCACTGATAGAGTAATCATACCTTCGGCTTTTGAAATTCCTGAAATCGTTTCAATGTTTTTGTCCCCACTTACATTTTTATTTAAATTCTGCTTGTTCCAAAAATTATAATTTATGGTCTCGTCTTCACCCGGGCCTTTGGCGATCTGTCTATTAATCTGTGCCCATATTATCCCATATTAGGATCCTATCTCGTAATATGGGACTTTCCTCTACGTACGCAGAACTACAAGATCCTAAATTTCTTCGTTTATGAGAAAAAAAATTTTTTAATGCCAATTTTCCAGATACCTTTGTGCGAATACCTTCTTAAGAAATATTTACGTTACAGGCATGATGTGAATGTCACGACCGAATTTTATAGCGTAGTGAAGACGCAAAACTTGCAACTGTGGGTTGTGCTTGTGTCGGTCTCGTTAGGTTTACTTGTACTGTGTATCGTTATTATCATATTAAACATGGTAAGTCTTTCACACACCGCTGTTCTATCATTATTGCTTTTCCGAAGTATGTTTTGATCGTTGGTTCTCGTTTGTTAATTACAGGTAGGCTTTTTCAAGAGAACGACGAAGGAAGAGTTTTTCGCTAATTATAGTATGACAAGGTATGAAATCATACGTAAAATTGGTAGATTAATTAATTACGCTAAGATTTAACGTGAAATAACTCGCTTACAGGTAACAGAAAACGTAGAAAAAAGAACATCCGAATAAAGGAGACGTTTTCGTACAGTTTCATACATGGTATTTTCACGTAAATTGGCATACTCTCTTATATAATGTAGGTTTATATAAATAGGAAACAATTTATGTGTATAAAATATTATTTCTTTATTCATACTACACAGTTAAGTATTGTACAAGCAATTCTTAATTATATCGACGACACTTATTAATAGAGGTATTTACATTATGTACAATTTTATGTATAATCCCTCTCTTTTTCCTTCTTATGCGAGACAAGAGTGTTTTTTTTGTTATGTAACATTAATAACAGTAGAAGATCTTATCCACTTGTACGCGTTTTACAAAATAAAAGTATCTAATCATCTTTGTACATATCTACGTAAAGAAGAACATGTTTTTCGATCACATGTGAGATTTATAAATTCTGTTTGTAATAAATGTATACAATAATCTCTGTAATATTTCGCGTGTCTTTATCCAGTCAAAATACATGCATACATTCTTTTTTAAATTAAAACTATCGCATACGAGTATGTGAGTATAAATGATTTCTTTTTGCCTTATTATTTAAGGCACCTACGATATTGAAATAATCAATGCTACTACGCGAGTTGTTGTTAACAGGTGGGTGATACCGTTGAAATATATTTGACAACACATCCGCACATCATAGATCACTTCTGACTTTTAAGCGCACTTGAGTGCTTGCAGTTTCCAGGGGAATGCAGACAATTCCTTGCAGCTATTCCCACTGTGACGATGTAAGCTACGCGCCTACCCCCATACGATATCGTAGGGATGTAGGCGACAATGTGCTTAATCAACTGTTGTTCACCCTCGCAACAGACTTATTCATCTCGTTCTAGGAACGAAGTCTACGTCCTTCCACCATGCCATGATATTGCCTGACTATAGATGATATTTGGGATTAGTTTTCTAACACGAGTCACAACGAGTGGTTGGACTTCGAGTTAAAAATCCCATTTAGAAACACCAGGACATTGTTCTCGAGTTGAAAATTTTAGAACATCATCCCGGTACGCGACGTTTCTGGCTGTTCGTTGGATGTGTGCATATGTATTTTCGTATGTATGTGGAATGTAATCCACATCCTCAATAAGATAAGAACTGAAAGTTGTATTTCGCATATACGTAACGCTACATATATTGCGAAAAGAAAATTAAACCCGTCATAAATACTATTCTCCGATCGAATAATTTATACTCACATAATGTAAGCGAACTCTTTTTCACCTACATGCCTAGCGACTTACGCGGACGCATAAACCTATATCATACAACACTATTTACAATTTTAAAAAAGCTATTCAATTGCGTTTGTATCGACGTACATATTAAACGACAATTTTGAGAAACCATTGTACTTTATCAAATTGCACTAGTCTTTAAATATCGTTTGATATACCTATATTATAAATACTCGAAACTTCTTTTACATCTAAATTTGTATATAGAGATCTGAATTTTTTATCTATCCTGCGTAATAAATTATGCAATTAATAAGATACTTACTCAAAAGTAAAATAGGCAATTCTTGAAATTTTTATCTTATAAATAAAAATAGAAAAACTTATTCTGTATACGTATTTGTTACTATTTATCATTTCTTACCATATATATCGCGTTTTGTATAAAAAAATTTAAAAAGTTCAAAAATTGCCCGTTTTTCAAGTATTTTTGAGCAAATACCCTTTTGATAGTGCAAAAACCTAAATTTAACCAGGTAGGATCCGTTTTACGATAGGATTACAACAAAACGAAGTTAAGTTCTAGCAAAATTCTCCAAAGTATGTACTCCTGTTTTTTTAAATAATGAGTTATTTTTAACATTTAAACACTTGCTTTGTTTACTTATACTTGTTTTTATATAATTTTGATCAAAGTTATTATATAATACTAATGTAAGGGAAAACATTTGTAAAATAAATCATAAAACGAATCCTATCTGTATTAGAAAAATTAAATATTAGATATGCAAAAAGAACGTTTTTTTTACTTAATCTTTTAGATGTAAAATTTCTTAAATTAACTGTTCACAATGATGTTAGATACAATTAGGAGAATATTATGTTGTTTGTTATAGATACAAACGGAAATCTTTTTAATTAGAGAAAAAGATAGAGATACTTTTTACTTTTGTGTACAAAAAATATATGTGCATAATAGACTCCAACTCGTCTATATGTATAATATAAAAGTTTCTTAATTTCTTTTTAATTAAAAAAAATAAAAAGTATCAATATCTTTTAAATGGCTCTCTCTCTCTCTCTCTCTCTCTCTCTCTCTCTCTCTCTCTCTCTCTCTCTCTCTCTCTCTCTGTCTGTTGGAAGCAAGTCCAATCTAACAAACCTAATTTTTTGGATCTAACATTATTGCGATCACGGTAACATCATTGAATATATTTATATTTCCCATTTGCTCGTACCTCATGAGCAAATCGAAAATTTAAATGTGTTAATGGAATATAAATTTTTCTTTTAGTTCATACTCTTTCTGAATCTCGAATAAATTGGTTGACTCTGATATCTTAACGTAATCATATCTTAACGTGAAATTAATAATAATAATTTCTGTTCTCCCCACGGAAAGACTAAATAACTAAATTTTTTCACCTACTTAATTTTTTTGTTTTCATTTTTTTACTCTTTAAAGATAAAATTTTTTATACCATGTATCAAAACCTAGAAACATTGGCAACAAAATATTGCTTGTTATATGTAAAATAACTAAGTTCCTAAGTTAATCAGTCTATTAGTAATCTGACTTGTCTTACTATTAAATGTGCACATATCTATTTCAATTTAGACGGTGTATATTTATCAAATAACACCAATGAACAGTAACCCAAATGATCACTAGTATTACTAAATAACTGCTTGAAAAAGTATAAAAATTATTTTTGGGAATATTCAGTTCATCAAATCCTATACATAATGATCAGTGATTTCATTATACATATTACCCAAAAATACCTAAATATGCAGAGTGGTGTTCTAGCAGAAATTGCAATTTTTTTGTAACAATGAACAAAACAATCTCTAAAAGCATATGTATGTAAGGTTTTAACCACTTCAGCGGCATTGACGCCATATGGCGCGGAAAATGTACGTGTCCCTGTGGGCATTGACGCCATATGGCGCACATCGTTTAATTTTTAATTAGACTGGCCCGATTTTCATAAAACTTGGTACCCAAGGGTTTTTTGGGTCGTTGAATACAAATTCGCGATCAAAATTTCAAAATTTAAAATGGCGGACCCAATATGGCTATCGAAAATAATCACAAAATCCAAAATCTTTTTGATTGTTTTCGATGTTAAGAAACCTAGTGTCAAGGGGTTTTTGGGTCGTTGAATACAAATTTGCGATCAAAATTTCAAAATGGCGGCCGCATAAAAAATATAAAAATTCAAAAACCTTGTCTCCTGACAATGTTTATGAATTCAGATTTATGTTCCTATATCTTTTTTTATTTTTTTGCGTTTATTTTTTTAGCGTTTTTATTTTTTGTGCGTTTTTTATTTTGTTCGCCATTTTGAATTTTGATATCAAATTCGTAACGGCTCAAAAAACCCCTAGATACCTATAGATTTCTTAACAATCGGAAAGATTTCGGACTTTGTGATTATTTTTGGTCGCCACATTGGGTCCGCCATTTTGAATTTTGATCGCAAATTCGTATTCAGCGGCCCAAAAAACCTCTAGATACCAAGTGACATTAAAATCCGATTACTTTTTTTTCTTGCCCACTGGGGCACAAACAGTGAAATTTTGTCTGCCGCTGAAGTGGTTAATGGAAAGCTTCCAGTTGAAGATCACATCAGAGATAAGTATCTATAATTATTCTTATAAAAACTTGAAGCCCTCCATTAAAACTTTAGATACATATGTTTTTACAGCTCGTTTTGTTTTGTTGTCACAAAATAGCTGTGATTCTTGTTGGAGCTTCTGCTTTGTTCAAAAATGTGTACTTAATTAACATATGTACGTTATAATATTTTTAAATTAACATTTTCATAATTTCAGAAAAAACTATGGTTTACAAATAATTGTTGGAAAAGTTACTGTTTTCACTAGTACTGTCAAACAATAATATATCTGTATACGTATGAAATTTGTTAAAAATCAGAATATAAACATAGTTATGACTTTTCTTAAACAAGATTGTAATGAGATAGAAATGATGACTTTTAACAATTTTCATGTGGATGTATTGTGTGCAAATTTAAATGTTTAAACAAGATTCAGATGTTTAAACAAAATTTAAATGTTTAAACAAGACGGATTGTAGATATATTTGAAATAGTTTTTTAAAGGAACTCTATTAATATACCTAATCTATTGCTTTTTCTAGCATTTACCCTTTCCTCAAAAAAATTAATAATTATCTTTTGTTGCTAGAAATACATAAATCGAAAGTAACAAATAACCAAATGCTTTCTACTCAAGTTTTGATACAAGATACAAAATAAGTATACTTATAAAAAAAAGTATACGACGGAATGGAATGGAGATCGCAGTTAAACAAGAAGCTCCTGCACTCTGATTTTTCTTACGCTATTATCACAATGGCAAGTTTCCTTACTCAATGTATGGCGTTTACCTCGTAAACGCTTCTGACGGTATCTGCCCACGTTTAAAGAACTCGTGAAAAGCAGAGAGTGCATTATCATAATTCCACTGAGTCTCTTGTAAGCACTTTAAGCTCCATTCCAGATTCATATTTGTCTGCTGACTTAACGTCACCGTCATTTGCTGTTTTATTTCGTCGCTAAGTTCTGTTGTCATCGGTTTCGCTACTTCTGAAGTTTCCAACGGCACCGTCTGCGGCACCGTCTGCGGTTGCGGTTGACTTCTGAGCTGATTCAGTTGCTGATGCAGTTGCTTCAATTGCGCCTCAGACGGCTGACTAATGTGCAACTGCTCATTTCGAATACAGTATCCCCCACCTTCCGGAACAATTATGAAGGTGCGGTTGAAGTAACGAATGGGCTCGTCTTTATCAAGTTCTTGAAAGTAACCCGTTATAGTAATGAACATCATTGCTTGCTGTAAATACATAAAAACTAATTGACTTATTTGTTTTCAATTAATAAAAAATAAATTATAAGTTTGTCTTTATCTCACATATGAGTAATAAAATGTAATACACAACAGTATAATAGGATTACTTACTGTTGCAAGAGTGATGTCCATGGTAAAGGTATTCAATAAATGCCTTGTCTTTGGCATTTCCGATATAAACGAAACTACTGGCAATCTACCCTGTTTTAATAACTTCTGTCTTCTATTTGAATCAATTGTTCTAAATAAGTTTCTATTCTCCGTGAAATACCCATTTAACTTGTGATTATTGTTATGGAAATTGGTTATCGTCAGGCTTAAGCATGCATTTTCGGCGTATGCATCGAGTAAAGGTTGACGATTATCGCTATCAAATATCGTGAAGTATTGTTGCAAAAACTGGCTCGCTATCTCTTGAATTTTAGGATCCAAAACAAACATTCTTTGCGATGGAGGTATCTTGACAGTTATATCGATAACATCAAAAATAATTGGACGCGGTAATTCTATGCCATCCAATCGTAGCAACCTGGGGAATCTCTTTCGGACGTCACTTGTGTAATCACTTTGCCGAGACTTATACCTGTTGCAAACAGGGTTTCCAGACAACTTCAATTCTTCCAGTTTTAGATCCTTAATACCATTCAGTTGGTGAATATCTTTGATCTAAAATATGCAATAAATCAGGTTTTAAAACCGGGACATTATATTGACGATCATGTCATATATATATTTTTTATTCGCGCGGTCACTTACCTTATTATCACCAATATAAAGAATCTTCAATTTCGAGAACTTCTTATTCAACACCTCAAGTCTCTCGAGATTATGTAATTTGTTGCCTTCTAAGTTCAATGCTTCTAGATTCGGAATGTGTTCCCCAACAATATCTAACACAGCCATCAACATAACAGGGTGGCACAACGCACAAAAGTAATCCGAGTAAAGATCTGTAAGGCGAAAAATTACATGTAGTTTGAACTTACAAATCTTATTGATATCTTTAATATATTTATAGGGAATAAAAGTCAGAAATTTCTTCGTACCGGAATCAACATGAAACTTGGACAAGTCTAGAGCATTTTTCTCTTGTACATATCTCTTAACCATGGCTTGCTTCAATCGTTCTTTCAACTTTTCATCAATTTCGCAAATTGGAAATCCGGGCTTCGCCTTCACTTGTAACTTGAATCCGTCATCCATCAGTACCTTGCGATCGCAACGCAACAATGCGTTCGCCGTCTTGTGATCGTCAATATAGAAACTGGCTTCACTTCCCATTACCTTGTACTGTAAACAATTTAGCGGTGAGGATTTATGGTTTCGAGGTGATTTTTATTTTTATTGTCGCTTTATTTATACATGCAGACTGTCATTCAAATTACATTAATACATTATACTAAATAAAAAATATGAACTTTTCCTGCAAGATAAAAATAATAGTTACCATTATGGGAATGAATGCGTGAGGTGCCATACAGTTGAGAAGCGCATGAATAACATGCTCCTTCTCATACTTATTACCAAATGGTATCTGTAAGACACAAGTAAAAATTTTGTCCAAGCTGTAATATACATATCATTGACATAACATAATTATTTGCGTATAATATATGTACTTACAATTATCCTATACCAATTGGACTCGACAATCGGAAGCACCCGTGACCTCGAACCAGCTTGACCTCCTTTGAAATTCCTATTCGGCATCGGACTGTTCCTACCGCGAGAGACCGTATGCCAAGTCCTATCACCCCTATCTCTATCCCTCTGATTCATTACCACCTGCCTAGTATTATTGTTGGAACTACCCGCCATTGGAATGTCTTCGTCCAGTAAATTTGACAATATCAAATTACGCGACATATCCCTGTGGTTTGGCCTAAGGGTCTTAAACGATACGCGATGTTTTGTGGGACCGACGCTCGGTCCACCATCCCTTCCTACGTTTCGTACCATCGTACGATCATCGTGACCTAAAAGCAAATTTATGGTAAAGCAGTAAAATTACACAAAAATCATTGTTTATATCCTAGAACAGATTATTTTGCAGGCAATCAATATAAATGTGTATATATTTAATATTCAGTCATTTTTTTTATTGCAATTCCTCAAGATTGCACGATCCGAATATTTCATGATGTCGTGCAGATAACCCTGGGATAACACAGCCGTTCGGTTTCCTGTAAAACGTCTTATAGTGCAAAATCTTGTAACATGTAACAAGAAACGGTGTGGTATTAAAATGCAATATAAAATTGTGGTACAAAAGCGCACAAATATTCCTAAATCTTATCAGGATGAATTCCATATCGCGCGAATGTCGTGCTATACAAGAGTTTTCGCAATCGTCCGATCGCGAGGGGGGAAACCGCTGAGGGCATGTGGTGTATAGATCTGTGGCATTACTGGCTATTACTAGGCATTTCTTGAGCATTAGTCTGGGCATTGGGCCTTGCTGGGGCATTATAAAGATAAAAAAGGTAAAGCAAGGTAAACAAAAGGAAATAAGATAAGATAATGCAATGCCCACTGGGCATTAGTGGGCATTAGTGTATAAGATTTTGGTCAGCGGTTTCCCCCTCGTCCGATCGTATTAGGACGCGACATGAAAATCCACAACTTTTCTCGAAAACTGCTTTACAGGATGACTTGAAATTTTTACGGTCGACGTCTGATTAATAGAAGAACAAAGTGATTCTATTCGAGTTTTTCCTGATTTTGAGAAAGAAAAATTACGTTTGAATTTCGGCGGCCGGCTATTGTAATGAACCCACCCTTTGGGGTCGTTTTCGCGAATGCCTGAAAAAAGGTTTTGGCACGGTGGATATTCCTAAGCCTGGCTCGAGTCCTAAGTCTAAAACGGCCGGAAGTGTTTAAGACTAGAAGATAAAGTTATGTTAGCACGTTAAATACGTTGTATCAAGAAAAGAAGATTGACTTGGCAAATTCAACCGTAACTTTTTTCTTCGAATCAAGAAGAACGCGGAGGATTATTTTGTTCCTCTTGATCTTAATTAATCAGTCGGCTGTGAAAATTGCAAGTTACTTCGTAAAGCCGTTCCCAAGAAAAATTGAAATCGATCGTAAATTCTACCGCAATTCTGCAAATCAAGAAAAACGCGGGCGACTACTTTGCTCCTCTTAATTTTCATTACTTTCAATTGATTAGATATCGGCTGTGAAAATGTCAAGTTATCTTGTAGTGCCATTTTCAAGATTGAAAGCGATAGATAATTCAACCACGATTCTTCACGAAAAGCGCGGGAGACTGTTTCGCTCCTCTTAATCCCAATTAATCAGACGTCGACTGCAAAAATTTAGAGTTATTTCGCAAAGCCACTTTCGAAAAAAGATCGGAGGCGATTTTTACAACTTTCTACACCGACAGAAGGTGCGGTGTCACAATCCCGTTAACATCGCGTTCGCGAAAGACACAGTTCGTTACAAAACTCTCTCGCTCGAGATTTATTCGTTAACAAATTGATTTGCCACTTTTTCTCCCGCGCAGTTAATTTCCTCCGTATCGCGCGACCGACCTGATCAATCCGCGCTGCAGAGACGCGCGTATCAAAGCGGGGAAAAAATTGCGCAGTTGCATGCTCCGCACGAAGCAGAGCGTCCATCTCGTCTTCTCGTATGCGACACCAACGGGCCGTTGCAGCGCGTACGCAATATGAACCGAACGGATAAACGCGGGCGGGATATCATTTCGCGCTCCCGCGGAGAAAACCGCGAGCCCGAATCGCGCGTAGCGAGCCGTGAAGCGGTTGAGAACACTCACCAAAATACCCTTTGGCCTCGTTTCCTCGGTTGTTACCGCGGCCGCCCCATCTATTGTTGCCTGATCTTTTCGGCATCTTGCTCGAGTCCACGGAACCTAAGGGATCCACGAAGCTAAACGCGAGACCTAAGCGAAAACCGTGAAACACCTAGCTACTATCTCTATCTACTCGCACAACCCTACTCCTAACCTCGAACTTCGCCTAACGATTCTCTTTGCCCTTCACTCTTACGAGCTACGCAAGCACATCCGAACCCTAGCGACGCTGTGGTACGAATGGGTACGAAATTACGAATGAGCGAGAAACGAGCGAGATGCGCGGCTGTCGGCAGTGATGCCAGCCGAGAACGTTTACCCACTTGGAGTGGGGATGATCCGTTCGGCCACGCGCGCGCGCACGCTCGCACACAAGCAACGCCCCGTATATACGTGTGCACACGTATTTACGGCGCATTGCTTGTGTGCGAGCGTGCGCGCGCGCGTGGCCAAACGGACTATCCCCACTCCTACTCCCACCGCCGCTGCAGCGTGCGGGTAAACGTTCTCGGCTGGCATCACTGGCTGTCGGCCTGTCGGCCGCACCATGGTGGAAAGAAACATGGTGTGCTCATTTGGTTTTGTGTCTCTCTCGGAAATCGTTTCTCTGTCTTGATTTCTCGCTTGGAAGAGTTCAAATTGTACCAACCTTAAAAAGTTCCTAAAATTTGGGGATATGTATAATATAAGGTTGCCATATTGTGCCATGAGACGACCGGGACAAGGATGTAGACGGGGGAGAGGAGGGCAAATAGACCGTATTGTGTCAAGATAATTTATTTTTT